TTAATAGATGTTCGTAGAATATTGCTTACGCATCTGGTTTGGTTTTGTCTGCATTGTTGTGTTTTACGGCATATCAAACTCAATGGGTTATTTAATACTTTTTTTTTTTTTTTGGTAATATTTTGTTTTGGCAAAAATCTATTTCTGGTAATATGTTTTTCCTCAAAAATATATAGCTGGTAATATTATTTTAAAACATGTATTGGTGGTAATTTTTTTTTCCAAAAATATATTGCTGGTAATAATTTTTTTTTCAAAAATATATTGCTGGTAATAATTTTTTTTTTCAAAAATATATTGCTGGAAATATTTTTTTTCAAAAATATATTGCTTTAATACTTTTTTCAAAAATATATTGCTGGTAATGGGTTTTTTTTTCAAAAATATATTGCTGGTAATAATTTTCAAAAAAATATATTGCTGGTAATGGGTTTTTTTTTTTCAAAAATATATTGCTGGTAATAATTTTTTTTCAAAAATATATTGCTGGTAATGTTTTGTTTTTTTTTAAATATATTGCTGGTGATGTTTTTGTTTTTTTTTAATATATTGCTGATAATGTTTTTTGTTTTTTTTAAATATATTGCTGGTAATGTTTTGTTTTTTTTTAAATATATTGCTGGTAATGTTTTTTTTTTTTTTAAATATATTGCTGGTAATGTTTTGTTTTTATTTTAAATATATTGCTGGTAATTTTTTTTTTAAATATATTGCTGGTAATGTTCTTTCAAAAATATATTGGTGGTAATAGTTTTTTTATCTTCAAATATTTATTTCTAATAATTTTTTACAAAGTATTTCTGGTATTAAAACCTGTTTTTACACTTTTATAATGCTTTTTACCTCAGTTTCCGGGTTAACTATTTGCCAATAGCTGGGACCCTAACAGATGCTACCACCCCGGGTCAGGTTGGACCTGGGAACACCAGCAATTAAGAGGTGGTTTTACGCTCTTCCAAACCTCCTGATAAGAGGCCTTGCTGTTGGACGTAGTTTATTGTCTTACCCAGGACGCGGATGTTGTTTATCGACATACCCAGGACGCACTTACGCATCTGGATTACATTGATAGACACTTATTCAAGTGCTATATTTGGAATGAGAAATTTGGATTTAATATTAGCCGGATTAAAGGTTGTTCAGATAACATGGTTTACACATGGAGATTGCATTATACAATTACTATATTTGGAAGAAGAATTTTGGATCCAAATTTAGGTGAATAAAATTGTGTTTGGACAACATTGCATAGACATGTTGATTGCCTTGATAGAAACTGATACAAGTATTATATTTGGAATGGGAACTTTGGATCCAATTTTAGCCGGATTAAAGGATGTTCAACATCATTGCTTCCACATAGACATTACATTCATAGATATTTATACATGTATTCTATTTGGAATGGGAAATTATGAACCAATATTTTAGCCGGACTACATTGCTTATACATAAAGATTGAATTGTTAAAAGCTTATAAAATTACAATATTTGTAGTGAAAATTTTGAATAAAATATTTGTAGGATTAGATGATTCACGGACGAAGTTTCTTACACATTGAAATTGCATTGAAAGAAATTGCGCAAATACTATATTTGGCATGAGGATTTGGCATCTAATATTAGCCGGTTTAAAGGATGTTCAGATGCCATTGGTTACAAATTGTGATTGCATTGATAAACACATTTTCAAGTAGAAAATTTGCAACGAGAATTTTGGGTACCATATTTAACAGATTAGATGATGTTTGAACACAATTGTTTACACATTGATATAGCATCGATAGAAATTTATACAGGTACTAGAAAATTCTACAATTACTGCATTTGAAATGAGAATTATGGACCAATTTTAGCCGGATTAAATTATATTCGGACAACATTACTTACACATTGAGATTATACTGATGTATTATTATACAAGTACTATATTTGGAATAATTTCGGGAGCAATTTAAAGTGGATTAAATCATATTCCGACAACACTGCCTAAAAATTGACATTGCTTTGATGGAAACAATTTGCAAGTGCCATATTTGGAATGAGTATTTTTATCCAAATTTAGCCGGATGTTAAAACAATATTGCTTACACATGGAGATTGATTTGATGGAAACTTATACAGTTACTCTATTTGGAATGAATATTTTGGATCCAATTTTAGCCAGATTAATGCTTGTTCAGACAATATTGCTTACACATTGTGATTGATTTGATGGAAACTTATACAGGTACTATATTTGGAATGAGTATTTTGGATCCAATTTTAGCCAGATTAATGCATTTTGAAACAATATTGTTTACACATGGAAATTGTATTTATAGATAATTCCACAGTAACTGTATTTGAAATGAGAATAATGGATCAATTTGAGCCGGATTAATTTATATTCGGACAACATTACTTACACATTGAGATTATACTGATGTAATATTATACAAGTACTACATTTGGAATGAGAATTTCGGAAGCAATTTAAAGTCGATTATATCATGTTCCGACAACATTGCCTAAAAATTGACATTGCTTTGATAGAAACAATTTGCAAGTGCCATATTTGGAATGAGTATTTTTATCCAAATTTAGCTGGATTAAACCATGTTCCGACAACATTGCTTGTACATGGACATTTCATTGATAGTTATACGAGTACTATTTTGGGAATTTAGAGTCCAATTTACCGGGTTTAAAGTAACATCCGATGACATTGCTTACACATGGTGATTGCATTGATAGAAATTGATACACGCGTTATATTTCTGAAGAGAATTTTCGATTCATTTCTTATATTGATTGCATTGATTGAAACTTATAACCATGTTTAGAACGAAAATTTGGATCCAACTACAGCCGGAATAAGCGATGTTCGGACAACATTAATTACGCCCGAGAGATTGCACTGATACTAACATATGCATATGGTTTATTTGGGATGACAATTTGAATTTTAGCCGGATAAAATGATGTTTGGATATAATTGCTTACACTTAGAGACTAGATTGAGAGAAACTTATACAATTACTATATTTTCAATTAGAATTTTATACCCATATTAGCCGGATTAAAGGATTTTCGGAAAACATTGTTTACATATGGAGATTACATTGATAGAAAACTATACATCTACTATATTTGGTATAAGAATTCTGCAACTAATTTTCTATGGATAAATTCATATTTGGTGAATAAAGCTTATACATAGCGATTGCCTGATATAAGTTCTATTTTGAATGAGAATTTGGATCTAATTTTAGCCGCAATAAATGTTCTTCAGACAACATTGCTTACACATGAAGATTACATAATCACAAACTTATGCAAGTACTTTATTTGATATGAGAATGTCGGATTCAATTTCATCCAGTGAATGGATATTTGGACAGCTACGCTTACACATTGAAATCGCATTGATACAAACATATCCAAGTATCATATTTAGAAGAAATTTTTTGGAAGAAATTTAGCCGGATTAAAGGATGTTCACGCAACTTTCTTTAAACATTAAGATTGCATTGTTAGAAATTTATACAAGGACAAATGCGAATTTTGGATCCAAATTTAGCCAGATGAAAGTATGCTCGGACAACAATTCCTTCGTGATTGTTTTGGATTCAATTTTAGCAGGATTAATGAATTTTCGGTCAACAATTCTTACCCATGAAGACTGCATTGATAGACTTGCAAGCATACAAACGTTTCTTCTTTGAACGTATAGTGTGTACAAATCGTTCAAATGATTCAAATAATCTTTGCGTACAAGCGCTTTTGGCTAACCTATTAGGTATCATCGAGTATGTTTTTTGGTTGTCACGTGGTGTACATGTTCAGAATTGATAGAGATGCTCTCTTATCTTTTATTATTAAGGCTTCCATGATTTTTAAGCGTTTTTTGTTTTTACAGTTAGATGAATGCATTATGATGGTGTTCTCTACACGTATGTTGCACATCGAAGTTGTTAGATTTCCTTGTGTATTTAAATGGCTCCGAATGGTGCCGTGATCCGAGCGGTTCAATGTCGGTCTTCTTAATGGGCATGAAGCTGTATGTCCGATACAATTATTATTCATTAGTTCATTTTCATCAAGAAAACACACACACATATCTGCGATGGTTAAATTGTCGCCATTTTTATTTCGCGCATGCGCATGTTTTTTTTTCATTTTATCGACTGCACAGTATAGTAAGATCAGTTTGACACCGTCTGTGAGAAAATGAGCACCATGATGCAATTCACTCTGCCAGAAATTTGGAAATAGACTCATGTAATGCTTGGCATTCACCTTAACTCCAATAAGTACATTTTAGTGAGGATATTTCAAAGAATTCGAAAAGAGTTGGATGAGACTAATTGTGATTACGAAGATGCTTGAAGTGATCACTTGGGATGGCGACGTTATGCCTCCATTTATCTTTTCACAGGGTTTCACTCACAACAGGGCGGCCTACATCAAGTGTCTTGAGGAAGTAGTGCTGTCCTGGGTCAAGACGGTGGCTCCTGGAAGACCTTATGTCTAGCAACAGGGCTATGCGTCATGCCACACAAACAGGGGGAACCCAGTCATGGCTGTGAGACAATTTCCGCTACAAGATTACCCCTTACATCTAACCACCTACTTTGAAAGACTGCAACACTGTTGACTATTTATTATGTGTTGGACGCAGTTGAGTAGGAAGTGAAGGCAAGTATTATCGCAGTATTCACTAACTTGAACAAGGAGACCGTCCAGAAGAGATGCAGGAGATTCTGAAGTCGTCTGGCAGCCGTGGTTAAAACCAATGCCGATTTTATTGCATAAATTTACTTATTAGTATTTCAAGTGTTATGTTAATTTTTGTGTAATTTATGCAATTTATCCATCGAAATATGTACATACATATAAATATATATGTGTTTGTCTGTGCGTGAGAGAGAGGGGGAGAGACAAAACAAAGATTTTGCATTGTCCCCAAAATAACGTTGTGTTTTAAAAAAATGCAGAGTTGAAACAAAATAGTGAACATCCAATGATAGATAGATAGATAGATAGATAGATAGATAGATAGATAGATAGATAGATAATGACCCGAATGATAGATATTAACAGACTGAGATAGATAGATAGATAGATAGATAAGATAGATAGATAATGACCAGAATGAAAAATAACAGACTGAGATAGATAGAGAGAGAGATAATGACCAGAATGATTTAACAGACAGAGATAGATAGATAGAGAGATAATGACCAGATTAACAGACTGAGATAGATAGGAGAGAGATAATGACCAGAATGATAGATATTAACAGACTGAGATAGATAGATAGATAGATAGATAGATAATGACCAGAATGATAGCTATTAACAGACTGAGATAGATAGATAGATAGACAGAGATAGATAGATAGATAGGATGACCAGAATGATAGATATTAACAGACTGAGATAGATAGATAGATAGATAATGACCAGAATGATAGATATTAACAGACTGAGATAGATAGATAGATAGATAATGACCAGAATGATAGATATTAACAGACTGAGATAGATAGATAGATAGATAGATAGATAATGACCAGAATGATAGATAACAGATGAGATAGATAGATAGATAGATAATGACCAGAATGGATAGATAACAGACTGAGATAGATAGATAGATAGATAATGACCAGAATGATAGATATTAACAGACTGAGATAGATAGATAGATAGATAGATAGATAATGACCAGAATGATAGATATTAACAGACTGAGGATAGATAATGATAGAATAGATATTAATAGACTGAGATAGATAGATAGATAATGACCATAGATAGAAAGATATTAACAGACTGAGAGAGATAGATAGATAGATAGATAGATAGATAGATAGATAGATAGATAGATAGATAGATAGATAGATGACCAGAATGATGAGATTAACAGATGAGATAGATAGATAGATAGATAGATAGATACTGACCCAGAATGATAGATATTAACAGACTGAGATAGATAGATAGATAGATAGATAGATAGATGATAGATACTGACCAGAATGATAGATATTAACAGACTGAGATAGATAGATAGATAGATAGATAGATAGATAGATGATAGATAGATAGATAGGGATGAAATGATAGATATTACCAGACTGAGATAGATAGATAGACTGATAGATAGATACTGACCAGAATGATAGATATTAATAGACTGAGATAGATAGATAGATAGATAGATAGATACTGACCAGAATGATAGATATTAACAGACTGAGATAGATAGATAGATAGATAGATAGATAGATAGATAGATAGATAGATACTGACCAGAATGATAGATATTAACAGACTGAGATAGATAGATAGATAGATAGATAGATAGATAGATAGATAGATACTGACCAGAATGATAGATATTAACAGACTGAGATAGATAGATAGATAGATAGATAGATAGATAGATACTGACCAGAATGATAGATATTAACAGACTGAGATAGATAGATAGATAGATAGATAGATAATGACCAGAACGATAGATATTAACAGACTGAGATAGATAGATAGATAGATAATGACCAGAACGATAGATATTAACAGACTGAGATAGATAGATAGATAGATAGATAATGACCAGAACGATAGATATTAACAGACTGAGATAGATAGATAGATAGATAGATAATGACCAGAACGATAGATATTAACAGACTGAGATAGATAGATAGATAGATAGATAGATAGATAGATAGATAGATAGATAGATAGATAATGACCAGAATGATAGATATTAACAGACTGAGATAGATAGATAGATAGATAGATAGATAGATAGATAGATAGATAATGACCAGAATGATAGATACCAGACTGAGATAGATAGATAGATAGATAGAATGACCAGAATGATAGATATTAACAGACTGAGATAGATAGATAGATAGATAGATAGATAGATAGATAGAGAATAGAGATAGATAATGACCAGAATGATAGATATTAACAGACTGAGATAGATAGATAGATATTGACCAGAATGATAGATATTAACAGACTGAGATAGATAGATAGATAGACAGATAGATAGATAATGACCAGAATGATAGATATTAACAGACTGAGATAGATAGATAGATAGATAGATAGATAGATAATGACCAGAATGATAGATATTAACAGACTGAGATAGATAGATAGATAGATAGATAGATAGATAGATAGATAATGACCAGAATGATAGATATTAACAGACTGAGATAGATAGATAGATAGATAGATAGATAGATAGATACATACATAGATAGATAGATAGATAGATAGATAGATACATACATAATAGATAGATAGATACATACATACATAATAGATAGATAGATACATACATACATAATAGATAGATAGATACATACATAATAGATAGATAGATACATACATACATAATAGATAGATAGATAGATACATACATACATAATAGATAGATAGATAGATAGTAGAAAGATTATGTTGAAAAATGTTCTGATTCTTTGTAAAGTGCTAAATAATCTCTTTAATGAAACGCTCATTAATGATGAAGCCCGAAAATAATAACGAATAAAGAACTTGTTATCAGAAATCAATGAAAGGATGGTAAAATGGGCCGATTATTTGATTCAACAATATTGTTGCTCTTCGGGACAAACCTTCTTCATAATTAATGTCGTTCACAAAAAAGAAAGCCTTCAAAACAGTCCAATCCTATTTTACTGTCTGTCAGAATCAGTAACTGCTTTTAACACAAATATATAAGGACGTAGATAGATAGATAGATAGATAGATAGATAGATAGATAGGAACAGAGGGCTATAAAGAAAATTAGATAGATAAATAGATGAGACAATACCAAGGTAGATTGATTAGATGCTTGAACAAAAAACAGAATCTGATGAAAAACGGATTTCTCGTGTAAAACATTTTTATCACAATGCTGTGTTTCATAGAGTTATTTCTTACGGTTTATCAACCTTTTGCAGGTTATTTAAAGTCAGTAATTATTTTAGATTGTAAAAATTGTTTTGAGATAAGAATGATTTACTGAGACAAGTTTTACTCTTTAACCCATAGCTGGAGTCATAAGATTAAGATTATTTGCACATGTGTGAATAAAATGACCGCGACGGGAAATGAAACTCGCCTATCCGATTTACAATTACTGACTCGTTATCCATTACACCAGCCGAAGACACTAGATTACATCTTCTCCTATTCACAAGCGGTCTTGTCCTAAATATTATCGTTCAGGTACAGACCAAGCTTGGGGTTGCTTAACTTAGGTGATTGTACGAGTACCAATGTTTCAACGTGATATGGCCGTAAAACACTTAGGCTGAGAATTATTAATGCATTTTAATATACCGTATATACTCGCGTACCATGCGACTTTTGAAGACCTAATTTTGAAGCTAATTTTAAGAGGGTTGTATCATACACGAGACATAAAATTAGCGCATGTACTGCTGACCCTTGCTACGCTGTTGACCAAACTATGTATTCATTTACTGTAGCGTCAAATTCGGTCTTCAAGCGTCGCATGATACGCGAGTATATACGGTAACTAAAGATTCTTATAATCAAAGGAAGGGATGGTAAAAAGTGGGTAGTTATTTTTGTATTTTTCTTTAGTATTAAAAACACCCCCAATTTATTGGCCATAGTAGAATCAGAAGAAATTCCAAAAGATATTTAGTGTAATCTATTAAAAGGATGATAGAAAACGTGGGATCAATTTCGTAATGTTCTTTAGTATTAAACTCATCCCTTGACCACTGTATACGCTATCCACTTCTACAATATATACAGGATTTAAGTAACTTCCAAAAAATATTCTTATAGGTTTGTTTGTTATATATACCGTATACATATGTGTATCATGCAACTATTGAAGACCTAATTTCATAGCAAATTTTAAGGTGGTCGCATCCTACACTAATTAGCGTATATACTACTGCCCCTGGCTGCACTGTTGATCAAACTATATATACATTTACTGTAGTCAAATTAGCTTCAAAATTAGGTCTTCAAGGGTTGCATGATACGCGAGTATATATGGTATATAAAAGTAAAAGTTATTTTTATTTTAAAGTGAATTCTTAAGCTTTCAACGATAAACGATTACAAGTTTGAAATTTGCCTATCAAATGCTAGATATTTATCTAAGGGTCTTTTAGGATTTACATTTATATGTAATTGATAGTTTATTATAGTCTTATCAGGTTAACGTTATTTTCATGTAATTACATTTGAAATTGATATTTTGTTAACACCTTTCTGTGCGGGCACCATAACGGTTATCGGTGCGGAAAATCGATGGGCAAGGTTTTTTTTTTTTGTTTTTTTTTTAATCCGGGCCAAATTTGTTTCCTTCTCTTACCCCGTTATCTATTTCTACAGGCGCATTTTTTTCAATATTGCCCCCTATGATCATTTGAGACGGGAAACTTCCAGTCACTAACTAGTGTATGCCCAGATTGTTTCGTTCTACATACGCTTTTATCTGATTTATTTTGATATCCTCAACATCACCCTCATATCTTGAGTTGTCTCTTTTGCTGACATGTAAGTATTTTGTCTTCTTACAATTAATAGTTAGTCCTTTCTTCTTGCTTTCCATTACTGATTTAAGACTTCTTTCAGTTTCATTTACAATTGTCCGTCAATAAATCCTTGTTTATCGTTAATTTTTTCTCTTCCCCAATTGTTATGCATTTCATCAGTTGTATAAAAATCATAGGACTCCCTTCTTCAGAGATAGGGTACCCTTTCGATTGAAGCCAGTAAAACAGGACGTACCCAGGATGAGTTATTAGACATATGTTTTTGCCTCTTGACGAACTGGACTTATGAGTAAAGATAGTTTGCCTTTTCCAGGGTTGGGGAGAAGACACTTTACACATTCCGATACAATGTTTGGATAATTATCTAATTTCTAAAGAAAAATACTACCAAGGTCGTCCAATATATATATATATATATATATATATATATATATATATATATATATATATATATATATACACATACATACATACACACACACACAATATATATATAAAACATAATAGGTATGTCCCCATTCACATAAATATAGTAGTAAATACAGTATGTTGGTCTTCAGTTAGAGATTCGTCACTAGCTATGCTGGTCAAACTCTGCTTCCGAGTAGAGAGGATCCCCCAGACGCGTCTACGTCGGAGGAGAGAGTCTCGTCTCGGGAAACAGCTACCCGACCTCGTTTTATACGGGGTCTATGGGGAATAAATGTTTCTATCATAAAAGATTATTGGAAGGATGAATTGAGACGAGATTTTTTAAAATTTCCAACTGTATCAGGATGGTCTAGAAGATTCCCAATTTTCTTACAAATGGATTGCTTTGGTTTTACGGATTATCAACCCTTTGTGGGATATTTAAAGCTGAAACATTCTTATTTAATAATTATTTGTTTGCGAGTGAATATTGTATTAATAAGTTTTGGGATATAACAACGATTTTTTTTTTCGATAGTATCTAACCAATAAGCGGGGCAAGAAGAAATTAATTCATATCTTTTCCAAGGGTATTAGTGCATAAGAAAATGTAACGACCCGAGTTCACATTACGAGACACTATCCATTAAACCACCCGCATATCCAACAAAATGTAAGCAGAAATTATTTATGAAGAAATATAGTATTAAGGTGTGCTATATTTATGGGATAAAGTGCTAAATACCAGAGATAAAGCGTATGTAAATATAAATATAAAAGTGAACAGTGAAATCAACACTCAGAAGCGACAGGCTGTTTCATGCTAGGCGCAGTAGTCAGGCCACGAATGTTGGATTTTCCTGGACTATTCATATATATGGGTCAGTGGTGCATTGTGGGTAAACTATTCTGGAAAATAAGGAAAAGATCATCAGCCTACAACAATCAATCAAAAACCTGCAAACTTTGCTTGAACGAAAAAATAGCTATTATTACCTTCCTAGACCAAAATAAATTACTAAATAAACGATCTGGGTTCATCTCAAAATGCAGACATGAAAACAAATTTTTACTACCTTACTTAAAAATGAACATTGAATCCAGCACTCAGAGGCGACAGGATGTTTCATGCTCGACGCAATCGTCAGGCGGCCTGATGATTGCGTTTAGCATGAAACAGTGTCTCGCCTGTAAGTGTTGACTTCAACGGTAAGTTTATATTTATATTTACATACGTTGTATCTCTGACATTGAGCATTTTAACTCCTAATTATAGCATACATTAAAACTATATTTCTTCATCTCTGCCATGCGACGATAGTAAAAACGTTAAAATGTCCCTTCCACTTTGCTCTGCGGTGATAAATTGGGGGTAGAATCTCTGACTGATGACAAATCGGTCGTGTTTCGATCCCTGCTTGAACCAATCGAATGTCTAGCCATTCTGATGAGCTGTGATGCAGCCAAACAGTCTCTCTGTTGATGATATATATATATATATATATATATATATATATATATAGTTTTAAGGTGTGCTATATTTATGGGATAAAGTGCTCAATATCAGAGATAAAGCGAGTGTAGATATAAAAGTGAACACTGAAGTCAACACTCAGAGGCGACAGGCTGTTTCATCGTCAGGCCGATTGCGTCTAGCATGAAACAGCCTGTAACCTCTGAGTGTTAACTTCAATGTTATATATATATATATATATATATATATATATATATATATATGAAGGAATATACTCTTAAGGTGTGCTATATTTATGGGATAAAGTGCTCAGTATCAGAGATAGAGCGTATGTAAATATAAATGTGAACATTGAAGTCAACACTTAGAGGCGATAGACTGTTTCATTCTAAATGCAATCTTCGGACCAAGAAATTATTTAAATATTTGACAAATTGTCGGGAAACTCATTCCAAAAACTTTTTTTTTAATGTGGACTGTTCTATTATTTATATTTATTATTATTTATGCTTCATTATCCAGGCCTTTTGCCAGACTAAGCCTTGCTTACTAAACAACAATATTACTTTAAAATGCAAGACTTCTGAAAGCATGGTGCAGATATTCAACAAATTTATTTACCACGAAAGCCATTGGATACGAACGGTGATAAAATTTATTAAATATTGATAGGAATGATGACAGGTTTTATTTAAGTTCAATCTACACTAGAATAAAAATTAAATTAAATCACTGCCCGTCGCAGATAAGCTTGCCTCGTCAGCTTTCCTCAGGGACTGCAGAAATTGGAAAGGTTAAGCTGGCGCGTGATAAAATTCGGGCTGGGGTCAGGCTTGAATTTGTTTGGCTGGGTAAACGATTGGGACTTAAAGACGTGAAAGGAAAAGATAGTCTAAAAAATATGGAAGAAAAGAAGAAACCTTAGATAGATAAAACGGAAAAAAAAACATGAAGACATTCAGAGAAAATGCTGCCGTAAGGAGAGAAGAGGAAAGCGTGAAGGATGAGAAATCGAAAATCGATAAAGAAAGATGGTAGATGGAAATGATAAGGTCTCAAGAGGGAAAAAATAGGGAGACAGAAGAGATAACTCGGGAAAAGAATTTGATAAGGAAAAATAAATGGTAGACTGAAATACAAAGAAAAAAATATTTTTTTTTAAATCTGACAGCAAAGAATTAAAGAAAAAAAGATTAAAGAAAATAAAAAATGGGAGACAACTCTACGTTTTGGTTAAGAGATTTGCCTATTTTTTTTTTTTACTGGTGCCAAGATTTTACAGGACCACCTTCTATATTGGCGCAACATATTCTTATATATATAGTACCACCTTGTGTACTGCTAGATTAATCTTAGAAGTGTCGAATGACATCTGTATAAGACATAATAATTAAAATAAGTGAAAAATGGATAATTAGAAAGAAGCTGAGGCTTTCGATGTAGAAGAAGAAAAGGAAAAAAAGTGATGATGAAAAAGAAGAAGAAAAGTAGAAAGTGATGAAAAAGGAGAAGGAAAGAATAAAAGAGGAAGAAGACATAAAGAGTAGAACCAAGGAAATAATAATAATAATAATAATAATACAGGGAAGAAATAATTAGTATTTTTAAAAAGTGGCTAAGAAAAAAGTACAATAAAGACAAAAAGAAGAACAACAACAAGACGAAGAAGAAGAACTACAACAACAAGACGAAGAAGAAGAAGTAGAAGGCAAACAACAACAACAACATGAACAAGAAAAATAAGAACAGCAACAAGAAAGTGGAGAAGAGGAAGAACAACAAGACGACGAAGAAGAAGAAAAAGAAGAAGAAGAAGAAGAGGAGAACAAGAAGACGATGAAGTCGAAGAACAAGTACAACAAGACGAAGAAGAAAAAGAACAAAAAGCAGTAAAAGAACAAAAACAAGACGAAGACGAAAATGAAGGAGGAAAACAACAACATCAAGACGAAGATGAAGAAGAAGAAAAAGAAGAAGAAGAAGATCAACAAGAAGAAGAACAAAAACAACGGGAGAAGACGAAGAAGAAATAGAAAACGACGAAAAAAACAACAAGTCGAAGAAGACGAAAATGAAGAAGAAGACGAAAATGAAGAAGAAGACGAAAATGAAGAAGAAGACGAAAATGAAGAAGAAGACGAAAATGAAGAAGAAGACGAAAATGAAGAAGAACAAGACGGAGAAGACGATGAAGAAGAAGAAAAAGAAAACGAAGAAGAACAACAACAACGACAAGACGAAGAAGAAGAAGAAGAAAAGAAGAAGAAGAAAAGAAGACGAAGAAGAAGAAGACGAAGAAGAAGAAGACGAAGAAGAAGAAGACGAAGAAGAAGAAGACGAAGAAGAAGAAGACGAAGAAGAAGAAAAAAAAGAAAACGAAGAAGAAGGCGAACAACAACAAGACGAAGAAGACGAATACGATGAAGACGAAAAAGAAATGATTTCTGATAAAGAACTAAAAGCTAAAGTAATATATCCAGTTTAAAAATAAAAGAAAGGTAGATGCAGATCGGGCAAATGAAATGCAAACAAGGGAATTAATAGAATAAAGGGTAAAATGGAGAGAAGTATTCGGAAGCGAGGAGAAAGCATCCGAAAAAAAAAAGCTAGCAGATTGAAACAAACAGACGTTATAAGAATTGAAGGAAATGAATTTGATAAAAGATAAGGAAATGAAAGAATGGGATATAGTAAGAAAAGAAGAATGGAAAACCAGAAGAAAAAGTCAGGAAGAGGTGAGAGGGAATTGGGCGAATTGTGGGCATTGGTTTGGAGGAAATCTCTCCGTATTTGGCAAATTTCCAAGGCTCCACATTCCTGGCTAGCAAACACCGTGGAATCTTTCCAACCAGTAAGAAATTTCTCTTTTAGAACCTACAGCCCGTAAACACTTGATTTTTTTTTCTTTGACAGATAAACTCTTAAACGAGGACCTTCTTAAGTGCCATGGCCGTTCAGGATATCGGTGATTATGGCTCTTCACAACTTCCTTTTCTTTAAACTATAAACTTCTGCCCGCGTTGATTTCGCTACCGTTTTTAATTCAGATCTGTCATTCATCCCCCCCCACAGATTGATTTCTAGTCAGCTTTGCCACCTCTCTTTTTCTGGCTCTTCTCTCTTTTCTTCTCCCCATTTCTTTTTTCTTAACTCTTTCTTTTCTCCTTCACTATCTATTTTCTTTCTTTTATTGCATTGCTCTTTTCTCTCTCATTTCTCTAATGCCCTTTCTTTTTTTTCATATTATATTTCTCTTTCTTCCAGTTTTCTCCCTCTCTTTTCTCCGACTCTCTCTCTCTCTTTTATCTCTGTCCTCTCTCTTTTTTTTTTCTTTTCTCTTTTTCTCTCTTCATTCTAAGTTTTTATTTTCTCTCTCACTCTGTTCTTTCTTTTTCTTCGACTTTTTTTTTCTCATTTTTCTCTTTTTCATCTCTCTCGCTTTTACTCTATCCTATCTCTTGCTTCCTCTGTCTTTCTTCCTCTGTCTTATACCTCACTCTTTTTCATTTCTATTTCTCACTCTTTAGTCTCTCTCTCTCTCTCACTTTTATCTATGTCATTCTTTCTTTCCTCCCTCGTCTCACTCTTACTCCCTCTTATATTTCTCATTCCTACTATCTATTTCTCCATCTCTCTCTCTCTCTCTCTCTCTCGCTATCGGTATCTATCTATCTGTCTATGCATCTATCTATCCATCAATCTATCAATCCATCAATCTATCCATCAATCTATCTATCCATCAAATAATCTATCTATCCATCTATCTATCCATCAAATAATCTATCTATCCATCTATCTATCCATCTATCCATCCATCTAATAATCTATCTAATAATCTATCTATCCATCTAATAATCTATCTATCCATCTAATAATCTATCTATCCATCTAATAATCTATCTATCCATCTATCTATCCATCTATCCATCTATCTATCCATCTAATAATCTATCTATCCATCTATCCATCAATCCATCTATCTCTTTTTCCCTCCCGTTTCTCTATTTTATCTCTATTTTCTCTAACAATTCGCACGTTTCTACCTATTTCTCATCATTTCTTTCACTTTTCCTACCTTTTTCCTATATTTTCTCCCTTCTCTCTCTCACTCTCCCGCATTCTATCTCAGTCTCTCTTTCTCTCTATCTCTTCTCTCCTTTCTGTTTTTCTCTTTTATCTCTCGCTTTTATCTTGTTTCTACGTCTCTCTTTCTCTCTCTCTCTCTCTCTATTCTTTCTATTTTTCTATCTTTTCCTTATCTTTTCTCTCCACTCTTTCTCACTCTCTCACACAATCCCTCACTCACCTACTGCCGACGTTCTTATCTATTAATCATACTAAAAATATCCCAAGACCAAGTATATGCAGAGTCCTTAGTGGTATTTTTCAAGTCAGATGGGGCTTAGCTGGAGGAGTATCCATCAAATCCTCAAATAGCATCTTTATACTAGGTTACATGTTAGGAATTCAGACAGTAAGCTTGCCCTGCCTAATATCCAATGCTCAATACGATTACACATATCAGAAAATGAAATTCTTCAAAGTTATTTCAATATTATACGACTATGACGTGACTGCAAAACTAACAGGTAGTATTTAAGAAATTTTTAAATTGTCTGGATTACATATAATGCAAAAGAAATCTACGATTTTTAACCATACATCATCATTTCACAATAATGACACTAACACAGCAGATGGGACTGAAAAAAAAAGGAAAACGTTAGTGAAGAGAAAGGGCAATAAAAGAACAGGATTCAGGAAAACAGAAAATGGCGATAAAGCCACAAAGACACAATGGATCAATGAAAGTGAAATAGAATAAGACTTTAATGAGAAGAAAGGAAAATAAAAGAACAGGTTACAGGAAGACAGAAGATGGCGATAAGACTCCATGGGTTAATGGAAGTGAAATAGAATAAGAAGATTTTAGTGAGAAGAAAGGACAATAAAAGAACAGAATTCAGGAAGACAGAAGATGGCGATAATGCCACCAAGACGCCATGGATTAATGGAAGTGAAATAGAATAAGAAGATTATAGTGAGAAGAAAGGACAATTGAAGAACAGGTTTCAGGAAATCAGAAGAAGGCAATAATGCCACTAAGACGCCATGGATTAATGTAAATGGCATAGAATATATATAAGAAAGGATAATAAAAGAACAGGTTTCAGGAAGACAGAAGATGGCGATAATGCCACTAAGACGCCATGGATTGATGGAAGTAAAATAGAATAAGAAGATTTTAGTGAGAAGAAAGGACAATAAAAGAACAGATTTTAGGAAGACAGAAGGTGGCGATAAGACGTCATGGATTAATGGAAGTGAAACAGAATAAGAAGGTTTTAGTGAGGAGAAAGGACAATAAAACTACAGGTTTCAGGAAAATAGAAGATGGTGATAAACGCCATGGGTTAATGGAAGTGAAATGGGTTAAGATTTTCGTGAGAAGAAAGGACAATAAAAGTACAAATATCAGGAAGTCAGAAGATGGCGATAAGACGTGAAACAGAATAAGCAGATTTTAGTGAGAATAAATGACAATAAAAGTACAGGGTTCAAGAAAACAGAAGAGGGCGATAATGCCACTAAGATGCAAGGCGATAATGCCACTAAGATGCAAGGCTATAATGCCACTAAGATGCAAGGCGATAATGCCACTAAGATGCAAGGTGTTACTGGGAGTGAAAGAGATGACTTTCGCGAGGAGAAAGGACAATAAAAGAACAATTTTCAGGAAGACAGAAGTTGGCTGTAATACAACTAAGACGCAAGGGGTTACTCTGAGTGAAATAGAATAAGGAGACTTTAGTGACGAGAAAGGCCAATAAAAGACATGTTTCAGGAAGACAGAAGATGGCGGTTGTCGTTGCATTTAAGTTTTTGAATATCGTAGTTGACAGGGAAGCAAGAAATCAGAAGAGTTTTCCACAGAGGAAATTATTAGAATAGAAAATCTTGCTGAATCGTCATCTAGTTCATCAGTGAAACGATTATACCCATTTGCCAATCTAGTATTGCGCTCAAATTCATGCAGTCGAGTTACCAAATGCCACCTATAAGAACAACAGAAGGAAGCCACGTCAGGGCGGTGGGAATGGGACTGGAGCCGAGATGGCAGGTCAGGACCGATAACATTCATCGCACGGATGAATGTGCAAGATGGATTCTAGCGAGAAAAATTGTCTAACACGATACAGTGAACCAATTTTCCTAGCAGCTTAAACTAGGAATTGACTCAAATATAATCATTCCACTTCTTGTTAGTGTAAAGCGTGAGACCAAGAAGAAACAATGTGTTGCTCTCCCGGAGGTTAGCATCAGCCATGCTGACGGAATCCAAATTGTTTTCTATGACGACTAAAAGATAGCAGTTTCATTTTGGAGGCGTTAAAACTTATAAGCCATATCTTGTTTCATTTAACAACTGATTGTTTTTCAGTTAAAATTCTGGCAGGTTTTTCAACAGTACCCCGTGTTTTACTGATGAGTAATTTAATATAATTAGCTTTAAACTGAACTTCATTGTCACATATGTTCTTTTAACGCATTAAACGTAAAAAAAACAGAAAAAACTAACATCAAATTTGTTATCAATAATTGACGGATATATTGAAGTAATTGACAGTTGCATTCATGATATTTTTGGAAGTTGTAATCTAGGATTTTTTATCTATATAATTAACTCACATATAATCGCGAATGTTTTATTTATAATAGGAAAAGAAACAATTTTGTCTTTTTAAAAGTAAAAGAAAAATATCTAAATAAATTTTACGCCAAAATAAACAATGTCTTGATTTGGTTTATTTTGTTTTACGTCATTTCAACCTCAATGGGTTATTTAATACTGACAATTCTTTTAGGATAGGTTCGTATGAATAGAATATGTATTCTTTATAAGAATTCAATTTGTAGATCAGGTTTCATTGACGTATTTTTGTACGAATTCTTTCTAAGAAATCAGTTTTTTAGATAAGGTTTCATTGACGTATTTTCGTAACGAGTCAAATGTATTGCTGGGAACATGCTTTCTTCAAAAATCTATCGCTGGTAATATATGTCTTTCAAAAATTTATTGCTGGTATTTTGGCTATAAAAATCTAGTTTTATATTTTCATATTATTTTACACCAAGTTTTTTGGGGGGTCAACTATTTAATCATAGCTGGGAGCTGAACAGGTGCTACCATCCGGGGTCAGAGTAGACCTGGGAACAACAACAATTAAGAGATAGTTCCACGCTCCTCAAAACCTCCTGAGGAGAAACCTTGCTGCCGGATGTAGTTTATCGTCATAATTAGGCCTCAAAATAAACAATTAACATCCTCATCTCTCATATTTACTAATAATATATCAAGTTGATATAATAAAACATGATATATTCGCTTATTGACATAGACCTTGCCAATTTTTATGAACAGACTATATCATTAGTCAGTAGCGAAAATTATGCTTTTTGTCCGATAAATATATTGAAACACCTGTCAGTCGTTATGTAGTGCAGGATTAAAAGCTGAACCCGAAGGCGAATTGGGAGTGTTTTCAACCAGTTGAAAGCCACAATTACGCACAGCAGCCATCGAAACCAAGGACTTGTTTGCTGAAGCATTGTCCTGATGCAACAAGACATCTTTCGTCAGTTTCATAGACCTTTGGTCTTGACAGACTTTCGTGACTGCCTGAGTAAGTTGGCATAGTATTCTCCATTGATGGTGTGGCCCTTCTGAAAATAGTTAATAAAAACAATGCCTTTTGCATCCTAAAAAACTGAATCGATTCAGATAAAACGAGCTTGGCCTTCCTATGAACAGACGAGGAGGGTGTATTTTTTCTCTGTCCCAAAGTGATGAAGTGTGTCTTCATCACTTTGGGACAGAGAAAAAAATACATGGGTTAGGAAACGTTGAAAGAAATCAGCTAAATCTGCCTCAAACAATGTCAGATTTCCCCGTGATTTGATCCGATTGACACACTTTTGTTTTTATTTGTCTCGTTAAATATTTGAACTTGACAACGTAGTGATCTGTCTAATAAGAAACCGGCGTGTTCAATTGGTCGCTTGTCCGGCAACTTATTTAATCCTTGTAGAATTCGGACACCATTTTGGTCTAACCACGTTCTGCTCACTTTTGCATCATGGCATTTTTAATATTCTATTAATATTATTTTAATATTTTCTTATAATTTAATATTGTATTTTTAATATTTAAGATCTACCGTCTTTCATGTTGTGCCCTTGTCCATTTTTTTATTGTCTATTTCCCAACTTCGGATTAGTTGGCAAATATTGTGCTTGAAGTTGTGTTATAAAATGTCCGAAGTTCATATCTTTTTTTATTGCTTTGTTCAAGTATTATCGATTATATATATATATATATATATATATATATATATATATATATATAAGATGAACACAACAATTTTTCTTTTAGAAAAACAAGACCTTGATGACAACATTTTGCAAATGTCGAAAGTACTCGGAATAAAATGAATATGCATCAACATGGTAATTTTCTTTCTTCCTTTAATAAGGATACTAAGAAACGTGTTCTTAATTATGAGAGAATTATATTAAAATTAAGTTGACAAAACTTATCTAAATTATTTAATGAGACATGTCTTAATATATATATATATATATATATATATATATATATATATATATATATATATATATATATATATATATATATTCTATTTGAAATATATGGTTCCATCGCTACACAGGAATTACCATGTTTCAAAACTACAATTTTAAATTTAATTATAAAATTTAAAATAAATGTCTCCGTTCCATTCTCGAGCGATATTTGGAATA